GTCTTCATGACGACGAGGCTCCAGCGCTAATTAATGTATTGATCGGTGCCACGTGGCACCCGGAGGCTGAGTCTCTAATTTGTATTCAGATCATTACTGATGTGGGGTTGCTGTCGTAGGAGGAGCCCCGAGAAGGAGTGGGCCTTATCCCTCTCCCTTGTCTAATCTCCCCCTCCTCTCTTCGTCCATGTATGATTATCTCACCCCCCACTTTCTTACTGGATACTATTGTCATTGAAGATCTATCATTGGTTCGATAATCTTGGCTTTCAGTGTCGACATTGTATCCACGACTTGGGTTCATTGCAGATTGGTATCGGAGCATTCATCCTGATTGCGACCTTGTCGCGACCGTGCACGTGCGAGAAGAGTGCCAGGTGGCACAAGGTAAGTGGAAGGAAAAGGGATACTTACCTGATTGAAGTACACGTGCCATCACGTTGAAGACAACGAAGACCGGTGGACCTTGATATCTGACGTGGGAGATACAGCGATCGCGATTGCGACGGTGACGTGACATCTTGTTTGCGACCTGGGTATTTGACGAGGCAGGTACAGCGACCGCAATCGCGACGGTGACGTGACATCTTGTTTGCGACCTGGGTATCTGACGAGGCAGGNGACCTGGGTATCTGACGAGGCAGGTACAGCGACCGCAATCGCGACGGTGATGAGACATCTTGGTTGCGACCTGGATCTTGGAAGCTGCTGACGTGGCAGAAGATGATATAAGTGTCACCAGGAACATTGTCGCGATAAGATCTGCTTGACGGGCAGATCAGACTATCGCAGCTTTGATTGAGGTATCACTTGCTGTCTCATCAAGGCAGGACCATTGCGATGAAGATCGCACTGTCGTGATGGTAACTTGCTGATGTGGCAAGATTGGTATACTTCGCCAAGATCGTGGTGATCACTTGTCGATGTGGCGGGACAGGATTACCACATGTACCTGATTGGTGACAACTGCTGACGTGGCATATTCTCCAACTATCGAACCTTGAGGCTGGCACAAATACAGCATTGCGGTATACAGGCATGTGGGACGATCTGGACACGACGCTGACGTGTCACTCCCGCATCATTGCTGACGTGGCACCTTGCCACGTGCGGGTTGGGGTTGACATTTGATAGACCTGCACGAACATTCCGACGGCAGTGGCGGTACAGCTGATTGTCGTTGACAGCTGTAGTGCCGTCTGATTAATTGGGGTGTTGGGAGGTACAAAACGTGAATGATTGCAGGGGGATACTGACGATTTGATTGTTGTGTTGGTGTACTTACCCTGTGTTGTCTGTTTGTGGTGTTGTACTCACTTGCTGATTGTCTCTGATCAAAGGCCTGACGTAATACTGTAAAAGTCTGAAAGAGGAAAAGAAAAAGAATACAGCGTTAGTAATATTTCTTTGATTATTGCTGATTATTTATTGATTTCTTTATTTATTGAAATGTCTCAAACCGAGAGTGCTGCTCAGACCCCGATGACAAACTTACCTGATGTTCGCACATGTCAACAAGTAGAAGAGCGGAAAAAGGTCCTTCTTGCCCGTCTGGAAATCTTGTTGTCTGACTTGCATGATGCTGGGGATGAGGAGGCACATGTGCGGTCATTGTATGATCTTGAGGCCACGCATGCTGCCCTGGTAGCCGCTGAAACTGGCACCGAAGTCGTGGAAGTCCAGGGTGTACTTATCAAATGCCGACAGGCACTTGACAAGTACATCATGGACCGATATATTGAAGTTGCAAATGGCAGTGAAAAGAAGGAACAGCCAGCAACTCTGGCTACCGTAAATGAGAACATGAAGCAGTTGGAAGAAGCACTCGTCAAAGAAAGAATAAGGAAAGAGGAACTGGAAAAACAACAGAAAATAATAAATCAGCAAGAACAAAGAGTGCAGGAGATTAGACAAAATATTTTGGTGATTGGAGAGGATGGACAAAATGTATCATTGCCACAACTCATCACCTACCTTGCTCATTTAGAAACCAGAATTGAACAGCAAGGTCTGCAGATTGAAGAGCTCACTGCCGGCCTGCGTACTGTCACCAACCTGGTGAAAGGAAAGAACAAGGTAGAAAAAACTCAAAACGAAGAGAAGCCAAAAAAATTGATGAGTGATGCAATGACGTCATTAAGGGTCGCCACAGTTAGGAATGAAGAATATGGGGGACCTTCAGATCCATCAAATCCACCACCTAACGGATCACCAAAAAGAACGAACGAAAACACGGCACAGCTAGAAAAGCCGAAGAAGAAAGAAAAGGTGAAGATGAAATTGCCTTTCACGTTCAGTAATAAGAAGGATGAAAACTTATTACTGTGGATCGCGGAAATACAGACCTACGTCGGGACGACCCCAGTGGAAGAAGAATCACAGGTAGCCTTTTCCACGTCGTGTCTTGGAGGAGAGGCCAAAGAATGGGTCCTGGCCGAAGCCAACGCGGCAGGTTTTGATGACATTGGTAAGTGGGCCGGAACAATGACTCTGAAACAGTTCCTGAACAAAATCAAGGAACGTTTCCTCGACAAAACAACGGCCGACAAGGCCTTCGATCAGCTCACTAATATAGGACAGAGACATTGGACGTCTGTAGAAGCGTTGTCCCGTGAGGTCGACCGATTGTTGCAAGTACCGGGTCTAAATCTGCATGACGATCAGGTCTTGTATATCTATGCCCGGGCCCTACCTGAACCTATACGAGGTCAGTTAGTGGTGGAGTCAAAGTCTGGTACGTATAAGTACAGGCAGTTTCGCGATCTGGCTCTCCAGAGAGAGCAAATGACTTCTCAGGTTAAACAATCGTATGCATCTGTGGTGAAATCTGGTGGTCATGCAGGTACAGGTAAGCGAGTGTTGTGGCGCCAGAAGCGCGCAAATCACACCCTTGTCGTCTTTGATGACGACACCGTAGAGAAGTGGCCATTGGAGGTCGAGGGTGTGTCAGGCGGCAACGGATCCGGAAAGGGGGAAGTTGTTGCCGCCATGGTTAAGAAGGGAGGACCAAAACCTGGTGTGAGGAGGAGGCCCCGATCTTTCCCCGCGCATCCCGGCATCGCGGCTGGGAAGCCTTGGGAAAGGATGGACATAGACCAAAAGACGTGGCAAGAGCGAATGGATAACGCCCAGTGTTTGAAATGCGGGACCGCAGGGCATGTGATAGCCTGGTGTCCGCTTATACGAAACCCAAAAGTCAGTCGCCAGTAGAAGTAACATCCGCTTCTACTAAGTTGAAGGATTCAGGAATAGAGAAAGGTAAGGCGCCTACTAACCCTGTCAATCCTTCAACTCGCAGGGCAGAGGATGATCCTTCTCCAGCCCCTCGTCCAGATCACCCTGAACCTGTCTTATGTTCATTTTTTCTGGACGACTCCCTCGACGAGCTGAGCAATGAGTTGCTAGCATAGCGAAGCTCGTGGGCTAAGAAAGCAAAGTCTAAGGGTGAATTACTACTCGCTGATATAGAAATCGCACACGTACGCGCGGGAGCACTGTTAGATTCAGGATCTACACGATCCTATATTTCCGATAAGTCTATCAAAAAGCTACATCTCGGAATGAAGGTAAAAGACTTGTCTCAACCCATCACGTCTATCTTAGCAGACAAGAGCACGATCACTGTCTCTCAGTATGTCGATAATGTAAAATATTATTTCCGCACGAGGGACGGAAAGAAGATTGCACATGAAATCTCGTTTTTGGTAGAAAAGAACTTGCCCTTTGATATGATTCTGGGAATGGATTGGCACGAGGAGGCCAACCCAGAAATCAACTTTAAGGATAAGGTAATACAACTACGAGATGTGCAATCCGAATTGAAAACCATTAAGTTGTATCATAAGTCTGACTCTGACTCTAACTTATCGTTCTATTGCATGAGTTATCCAGCTTTTCGATCCATGGTCAGGAAGAAGAAATTGGAACAGGAAGTGATGATGGTATTGGTAAAACAAGTTGGTGAAACTTCCGCTTCCTATCCACCCTCGATAGAAAAACTCTTAGATGAGTATAAAGATCTATCTCTAGAACCTACGGGGATTACTGAGCGTGCTATAAAGCACACTATAGAAATCATTCCTAGAAGTAAGACTCCCAAGGGCCCTATTTATAGAATGTCTCATAGAGAACTTGAAGAACTGAAGAAACAACTCCAGGACTTGATCGAAAAATGATGGATTCCCCCAAGCTCCTCTCCTTATGGTGCGCCTGTCTTGTTTGTGCCTAAGAAGGAAGGTGAGCTACATCTCTGTATTGACTATAGAGGGTTGAATTCCGTCACTRTAAAGAATGCCGAACCCCTACCACGTWTTGATGATCTGTTGGACCAGTTGCAGGGCTGTAAGTATTTCAGCAAGATCGACTTGAAGTCTGGATACCACCAGATTGAAGTAGATCCCGCTGATCAGCACAAGACCGCTTTTCGAACAAGGTATGGCCATTACGAGTTCATGGTAATGCCTTTTGGTTTGACCAACGCCCCAGCGACCTTTCAAAGATCCATGAATGAATTATTTCGTCAGTGGTTARATCAGTTCGTCATTGTCTATCTTGATGACATTCTAGTGTAAGTGTATAGTAAGACACTAGAAGATCACGAAAAACATTTACGTCTCGTACTTGGGAAGTTACGCGAGGGTAACTTTAAGTTGAATCCCAAGAAATCCGAGTTCGCTAGGACTAAAGTTTTATACTTGGGACACATAGTGAACGAAGAAGGCCTCCGGCCTGAAGAAAAAAAGATCTCAGCAATTCGAGATTGACCACAACCCAAGACTGTCACTGAGTTGAGATCCTTCCTTGGATTGACCAGCTATTACCGAAAGTTCGTTAGAAACTTTTCACAAATAGCTGCACCCATGAAAAGACTGTTGAGAAAAGGAATGATATGGTTGTGGGACAAAGATTGTGAGTCTATATTCAGAAAACTGAAATATGCATTAACTCACTATCCCGTCTTAAAAATTGCTGACCCTTCTCTTCCCTTCATTGTCACAACTGACGCGAGTCAGTATGGGATTGGCGCCGTCTTACAACAAGACGATGGCAAAGGATACAGACCCATTGAGTTTATGTCTGCCCGTTTGCTTACTGAGAAAGTCGCCAACTCCACTTATGAAAGGGAATTGTATGCCTTAGTCTGTGCTCTGAAAACGTGGAAGCACTATCTATTAGGAAGAATTTTCACTGTGTATTCAGACCACTCTACCTTGCAGTGGATAAAGACACAGCCAAAGCTTTCTGATAAGCTGGTAAGATGGTCTGCATTCCTCGACACCTTTGACTTTGAACTAAAAGCTATCAAAGGAAAGTCTAATGTAGTTGCAGACGCTCTCTCCAGAAGAAGTGACTTCTTTGGCACTATTGTCTCCTATCTAGACGTGGGAAGTAATTTGAAAGAGCAGATACGCCAGGGATATGCCACTGATTCTATTTGGAAACCTATCCTAGACACCATGGTCAAAGACCTTTCACTACTTCCCAGTATAAGATTGTCGACGGTTTGCTTTTCTTGATTGACCAAACTGAACAAAGGTTATGCATTCCTCATAAAGAAGAAATTAAAAGTATGATAATTGGGGAATGTCATGATTTTGAGGGACACTTTGGATTCAAGAAAACCTACGCTGAGGTAAGAGAACGCTTTGACTGGAAGGGTTTAAAAGAAGATGTACTTACGTACGTCCGCACTTGTCTAGTATGCCAGAGAAACAAACCTTCACATGAGAACCCGCTTGGACTACTTAGACCATTGCCGATCCCTAGTGAACCAGGTGAATCGATTTCAATGGATTTTATGACTCTCACCAAAAGTCGCAATGGAAATAGTCAAGTTATAGTTATTGTAGATCGTTTCTCTAAGTATGCTATGTTTATTCCCTTACCTGCTGAAGCTAAAACTGAACTTGTGATTCAGAAGTTTCAGATGCAATGGGTAACCGAGTATGGATTTTCCTTGACTATCGTATCTGACAGAGATTCTCGATTCACAAGTATGCCATGGCAAAAGCTGATGGAAGCATACGGTACGCGATTGACCATGACGTAAGGGCGACACCCTGAAACGAATGGACAAAGCGAACAGATGAACCGTTTGTGCCAACAGCTCTTGCGAATGTATGTAAGACCCGATCAAGTTGATT